CGTATTTGTCGCGCTGCTGATGACGTCAGGTATGCGCTTTAATCGGGCGCGCTTTAGTGGACCGCGGTTTTGTCGTGCCACGACAATTTGTTGCCTCTGAAATCTCTGAATTCATGGTATCATTAAGAATTCTAAAATATCAGGAGACCTTGGGGTTGAAATAGTATCAGGGAGGAAAATAATATTCTTCATGAGGTAATCTGACAGCCATTTTCAGTATACGGCATGGCAGCTTTTTACAAATAAGATCTTCTTGGGTTCATGTTATTTAGAGCAGCAGAACACCCAGTCTCTGTGGACTCTTGTAAATAAGCTTTGCCTTTTGTGGAGCCCAGAAATATATTCATTACTAACAACAAGCACCAATTCAGTTTAAGGGCAGCTGCTGGGATGACCCCATCAGGGCATTTGGTGAAATGGCTCCACTTTGCTTGTACGGTGACACAAACACCAGGGGCAAGCTTTCCTGTTATAAATCTTTATTTATAGATGTACAATTATATAATTAAGAAATACAGCCTTCTTCAATATCTTTCAAGACCTATGCTTGTTATTGCACGTTGCTCATTCATCCCCAGCTATCTACTTAAGAAAATCAAAAAAAAGATCTGATTTGTTATGGCCTGGGGCTCCTGCCATCTCACAAGCTGGTAATTTTGCGCCGCGCAGCTGGACAAGTGATCCTTCAAAATGACCGGAGGGATCACTGAATGTTAATCAGGAGGGCTGAAGTTTTAAGCCACGATCCGTTCTCCAGGGACAGCGGAGGGTGGAGGCTTCTCCTTGGGACCGCAGACAAATGGAGTAGATCTGTCCATCAAGATGGCCGCTTATGACAGGAAAAACGGAACCCAGCAACTCAGTTCAAATCAAGATCCATTTGTCGATGCCAAAGAAATAACACAATTATTAGACCGCCCCTAATCCATCAGCTCTTATTTGGTACTCCAACAATTCTGAACAGAGGGATGTTCGCCAACAAAATAATATAAAGGCTTCTGGACAAAACTAACAGCAACGTAAAGAAGGTTCCAGTGTGAAGTAATGAAGGGCGATGCTATTTCCTTGGCATAACTAAGCCATTTTCTTAACGTATTACCCTGATCCTGAGGGCTGACTTGCTTTGATGGTAGGAGTTGATCCATGCCTGCAAAATGAATCCTTTTTTTTTTTTTTTTGGACTAATGAAAACACAAAACCTCTTGCAGGGGTGGAAGCATCTTCAGATTACTGCTAATTCAAGATGATGAGGCTTATTGGAACTTGGAGCATTAGCTGTTAACTCTGGCGAATAGCTCAGCTCTTTGAAGTAACTTCTTTTAAGGCTCTTCTGACAGCATTGTATGGACTTCAAAGATAAAAAAAAAAGTCTGGCATTAAGTAGCTTTTTTTTTTTTCCAAACAAAAGTTGGACTTCACAGCCCAGTCAAGTAATAAAGAATTATTCTTTGTCTTTTTTCAGTTGCTTAAATAATGGAAAGTAGCAAAAACTCATTGAAACAAGGATGGCTGCTCTCCTGAGGAAGAGGACATCGGAGTCCCATTCTCCTGAGGAAGATCCTCACCCAGTCTACAAGCATTGTTGCTGCACAGCCTTTCCTTATTCTAGAGAAGGCAGGGTCTCCACATTTGGCAACTTTTAAGACTTGTGGACTTCAACTCCCAGAATTCCTTAACCAGCCTGGGGAATTCTGGGTGTTGAAGTCCACAAATCTTAAAGTTGCCAAGCATGGATGCCCCTGCTCTATAGAGAAGGGCCATCCAAGTCTCACCATAATGGAAAAGTACGTAGCTACATCACTGCTTGGTAACCCACGCCAGCGCACAGCAGGTTCCTGGAATGAAATTACCGGCAACAAATTTGTTAAATAAAAACTATTTTATAGAGCAAGAGGAAATCAGATTGGGGAGCAATGGAAAAGGGAGAAGGGGATATCTCTTGGGAAAAAAACAAAACAATAGCACATCTCTGGGTAGCAAAATGAACCCTGATTGCAAGGCAAAAGAAATAAAAAGAAATAAAAAGTCTGCAAAACCTAACAGAATTATTTTTTAAAAAAAAGTCCACACAGCAAAAGCCATCCTGGTGAACTGAAGATTGTTATGAGGACAATTTGTTTTCCATTTATTAGGAAGAACGAGTCGTTGAGCAAAAGCCGCCATACGTTGCAAATCCAAAACGGGGCCGAAACGTGTCCGTAGAAAATATAATCTATTGGGCTCAGTATTTCACATTTTAAAAAAAGGAAACAAGTTTCAGAGTTTGTGAGTTTTACTTTCGTTTTCCCCCAGGAAGTCCAAGCCATTATAAAATATAAAACATTTGTATTGTCAGATAAGATTGCCGTTGATAGAAAACAGGACATTGGGCCAGAAAAGGGAAGGAAGGCCCAGGCAGGGGAAAAAGAAGCTAGAATTCAGAGATAGTAAATTATGAAGTTTCAGCAAAATAAAAAAAAGAAAGAAAAAGAAAAGAAAAGAAAAGAAATAATTTAATTCTATCCCTGCATAGTTTAGAAGTACAACATATTTACAATGGTGAGTTCAATTCTAAGTAGTGTCTCTCAAAATTAATTTTGTTTTTAATTTCTAGCTCTTCCAGTTCCTCCCTTGCTCTCTGAAGTGACTAGTGCAATTCCAGAACTTTCTCCACTGCTCCTGATTTTCTGATGATCTGGAAAGGAAACGAAAGCAACTCAACAACTGTTCTGGGGGGGCGGGGGGGCGGAGAGATCCTTTGGAGGAAGGGAGAGGGAGGAAGGGAGGGAGAAAAAAAAAGACCAGCCGTCTTTTTCCTCCTTGTCTTACGAGATGTTCAAGTCTAATGCTGGACAGAGAAAGAGAGGAGAGGGCAGTTGTGCATTGTTAATACTCCAATGCCATTTTAATTTAAGGACTGATTCTTTAAATAGAAAGTCTGTCTCCTTGGCTCAGTGCACTTCCCCCAAAGTCTTCAGGCATTTGAAGAGTCTGAGGAGAAAAACAGCAGACGCATCGTCAGTCTCCGGTCAATTACAAGCAGGGGTGGGCCGCTAGGTGTTTGCCCGGGTTTGGGGGAACCCTTAGCTAATGTTATGGCTGACTCATAGAACCTCCAAACCCCACCCCTGGTTGGCCCCAGCCACCATGCCCTACCCCTGCCACCCCACCATGCCTCTCCCAGGAGCCTCCATGCGGCCCGTTTTGGATGCAAATTAAGTGCACGGCCCGCAGAGGCTCGGGGAGGGGGGAAAACGGGCCTCCCGGAAGGCCTCAAGAGCCCAGGGGAAACAAGTTTTTGCCCTCCAGAGGCTCGAAGAAAGCCTCCAGAGCCTGTGGAAGGTGAAAATGCCCCCCCCCCCCCGGGCAGAAGGCTAAGTAGGCCACGCCCACCCAGCGACCAAGCAGAAAACCCGTTGCTGAAATTTTTGAAGCCCACCCCTGATTATAAATGGTAACAGGACCGGCACTTCCATTAAAGAACAGACTGGCATAACTGGAAATGTTAATTTAGAAGCCGATTCTTACTGGTTTTGGTCTTTAAATATTGAAATAAAATGCATAATAGGGTATCTTCGAGTAACGTTAAAAATAAAAAAGGTCAAGATGGCCGTAACTACATTGACTGAGGCCAGGCCCCTTGAATGCCTACAAAAAGTGGAGTCGCTTCAACCACACAGTTGTATGTCTTTTCGCCATCTTGGCTATTTTGCTCGGTTCCACCACAAAAGCGCGTAGGACAAAATCGCGCTCGACAAAAGCGCGCTGTGACGTCATCACAGCGCGACGAAAAAGATCGAAAAAATGTAAAAATAAAGCTAAAACCTTCCCCTAACCCCCCCAAACCTAACCCTAAACCTAACCCTAACCCTAACTCTTAACCTAACCCTAAACCTAACCCTTAACCTAACCGTTAAAGTAACGAAAAACGTAACGCTAACCCTTATCCTAACCCTAACGCTAACGCTCTAAAGCTAACCCTAACCCTTAACCTAACCCTAACCCTAACCCTAACCCTAACCCTTACCTTTATGTGAATCGGCTTGCTTTAATTTAATTTTTATTAATTTTTATTTGAATTTTTCGATCTTTTTCGTCGCGCTGTGATGACGTCAAAGGCGCGATTTTGTCGATCGCGCTTTTGCCGTCCGCGCTTTTGACGGGTCACGATTTTGCTCTCCTTTTATGAGTGCCCTGAGAAGGAGCACTAGTCAATGAAGACTATCGCTACAGACAAATGTGAGACTAAAATACTTTCCTTCTCAGATATTCTTCAAATATTTCTCCCTTTATCCCCAAACACACATCGACATTCAGAACATTTTCTTGGGAACAGAAGTCTTAAAACAAAAACTCAGGGTAGCAGCCTCAGATATCTAGGGTGCCTTAAATAGCCTATCTATTAAGCCTCTCGACATTTCTAAAAACATGACTAAAATGTTTTTCTCATCAAGAAGGATAGCTATGTCTGGGGATAGTTTGCCTGAAATTCAAGTCAAACCTGTTCTAGAAGGAAGGGGAGTGTGTGTGTGTGTGTGTGTGTGTGTGTGTGTGTGTGTAGGTAGGTAGGTAGGTAGGTAGGTAGGTAGGTAGGTAGCATGGAAGACCATTCTGTGAAATACACCCTGGTTGCATTCTAACTCTTTCTGTGCCATTTTTCTCACTCAAAATAAAACACATGCCACAGGGGGAAAAAAAAAGAATGAAAAGTTGTGTGACTGGAAATGCGTTAAGTTTTTGGCCTGGTTACACCTGATCGATGTTCACTAATCTGGCTCAGATCCAGTTGGGAGGGAGGACACAGCCCTGGAAGGTTCTAGTACAGTGTTTCTCAACCTTGGCAACTTGAAGATGTCCGGACATCTTCAAGTTCGAATGCTGGCTGGGGAATTCTGGGAGTTGAAGTCCGGACATCATCAAGTTGCCAAGGTTGAGAAACACTGTTCTAGTACAACTGCCACTCCTGCTGCCTAAAAACATGCAGGCTATCGCTGCATTACAGGGTAAGGCAAAGCACCCAACTCATAAGTGCAGCTAAGCCACCATCTTAATCCCATTAACTAGTGGGTTTAACATCCTAGAGCAGGGGTGCCAAACTGGCGGCCTGCGGGCCACGCCCACCCTACCTCCCAGAAGGGGGAAATGTCACGTGATGACAACGTGACACCGCCAGTTGGACACCTGTGTCCCAGAGAGACTTCCATTTGAGGCTTTCAAAACTTAGTTTCAGAACTCCAGTTTCTGGAACCCACTCGCTCCAAATAATAATCGCTTCTGGGGAATGAAAATATAGTTCAACGGTGTGCATGTTTGGAATAAAATAGGGGGCATATCTTAACTATGGTTTCTTTTTTCCTTCCCAGTTTGAGAACAGTATGTGAGTTTGGTTTAGTGTTTGTTTCTGGAGTAACCAGTTAACCCTTGGATTCCGATTATTATTCCAAGTATTATTTTTAAAGTGCTTAAAATTAATTTTTTAATATTTTGATCAGGGGGCCCTATATGGAGTGTTCGTAGATTGTTTCAACTTTAGAAATATTCACATTAATAAGGTGTTACAAATTAGTGGGATTCAAAAAAATGTACTACCGGTTCTATGGGCATGACTTGGTGGGTGTGGCTTGGCTTGGTGGGAGTGGCAGGGGAAGGATACTGTGAAATCTCCATTCCCTCCCCACTCCAGGGAAAGGCTATTGCAAAATCCCCATTTCCTCCCGATCAGCTGGGACTCGGGAGGCAGAGACTAGATAGGGGCAAGGCCAGCCAGAGGTGGTATTTACCGGTTCTCTGAACTACTCAAAATTTCCGCTACTGGTTCTCTGAACTACTCAAAATTTCCACTACCGGTTCTCCAGAACTGGCTAGAACCTGCTGAATACCACCTCTGGATACAATGTATATAGATTTGCTATGCAATCACCCCAAAGCTTCAGTTTGCTAGGTAATTTGGATGTTCTAAGTTGCTTTGAGGAGAACTGACCCATATTATAATGGAACACAATAAACAAAGAAGGATGGCGACAAAGACAACAACTTTAGGTGATAAACAATTCTAATTGGAAACCTACTGAAGCATCACTACCCTAAACCAGTTGCTGTGTATCTTACACTAGTTTTTATTTTCTTTTAAAGATATTTAACCAGGGCTGAATGAAGCAGATGTTCTCATCTCTTTGAAGCTGTTAAATATTATTTCAACGCTTACAATTCTTTTGCCAAGCATCATTATCAGTAAGAAATTCTCACTATGAGATAGACAAATCATTGTGATTTTTTTTTTTTGCAATCCAAAAGAAACGACACGCAAGGCCACATTTTTGTGGTAGGTCCACCAGGCCCTGCTGAACCTCTTTTCTACAATTTGTAATGCCATGCTAAATCCATGTATTAAAATGAACTATAGTGTTATCTTCCAAATGTCCAATGCCTGTGATATTACGACTACATTTTTACTTGAAAAGTAAAGCAACTTGGCTAAGCACACATGGGCGAAGTGATTTAATTGCTTAAATAATTTTGAAGAATCACAGGACCCTTTAAAGCCACATTTGACACTGAGTTTGCAAAACTATGTTCAGTATTTTAACACTGCAGCAACAATCCATAGCTGACTGTCCATTTGATGCTTGACACACTACCTTTAGCTGAAGCCACTGCTGCTGAAAAGCTTTATCAGTGAGTGCTTCCAAGAAGAGGTTCACCAATCATTCTGCAATAGGCCCATCAGCTTCCCAATAATTATATCTGCACCAAAATTAATGACGCTCTTGAGGAACAGAAGGGACCCCCAGCAGTGTTTGCAGAGAGGGGGGAGGCCACTCAAATTCAGCAAGATGTCAGATAAAGCAAGTCCTGCCCATTTGATACGTGTGGACAATGGATGTAGAAAAGGGGTTGGGCCTCACACTGCAACCCTCCATCTGTCAGCTTGCTCATTTTGACAACGGCCCTCCAACCAGAGAGACTGCTGAGAGTAGGAAAAGTGCAACTACTGAACTTAAGCTAAATGCTCCGGCAAAAGGGATGGTGATCAAAAGCACATCAGCACATCAGAGGGACCAGAGAGCATATAGGAAGTCATGCTTTGGGTTGGGTGTTATGCAATTTGTTTTTTGTCTTAACATTAACAGGCAAATGGGAGTCAGTGTTAAAAAAAGGATTTTGGGAAATAAAGCACTGAAACCATGATTCATGTTGGCTTTCAAACTAAATCTATGGCTTAGCATGACGCATAAATAGGAGCATTTTGTTTATTCCTAGTTTGTTTGTCAACTCTGAAGCTGACCTGGCTGTGGCCATTTTGGGGCTTCACTGCTGCCACAACTGGAGCGATGGGAAAGGGAAGGGGGAGTAGAGATACCTGGGGTGCTGTACCCAAAATAAAATACTTTCTCTTGGGAACAAGGACATTCCGACCAGGTGTCCAGAAGGAGGGGGTTGGAGTCATCTAGCAACTGGACTGTATCCTGATTGGACCATGTGACTGATTGTTGGGAGAAAGTGAAAGAATTTTTACTTTTAATTAGGTAAAACCACGGGAACATTTGGAGTCGGTTTTCACCAGCTCGTGCCAATATGACATGTCCAATAAATCTATTCTTTGAGGGATACAGTTGCCTCGGAGTTTTGATTGCTATGGGTGTGTTATTTGGAATCCTGACATTAAACCGACATAAATGTACCCAAACCGAACATGAAATTAATTCAGAGAGATGCAAAGTAAATGCTGCTAAGAGGATGATCTAAGAATGACCAAAGAGCTATCTTTTTTTCCTTTTTGTCTGTAAGACTAACACTCGCTTATTTGGCTAACTCTGCTAAAACTAACCACAATTTAGCACAAAACAAGACAAAGCAGCTTTGGATTCTGAATTATGCTGGGAAATTATAATCCCTAAACCAAACTTCCCAGCTCCCAGAAATAGAAATCACCAGCTCTTACTTAGGTCCCTATGGACTGTTTCTGCCACAGCTATCCATGCATTGATGCTTGAACTTCAGACAGCCTGGTACAGCTTGGTGTGCCCATCTTCTGTGCTCTCTGATACAGATCTGAATCACCAAAATAACGGGCCCGGTAAAGTAAGCCTTCCTCTGTAAAAGAAGAAAGCCAAATCATTAACGAACTCTGGAACGAATTCCCCGTGGAGATTCGGACCCTCACCACCCTCCAATCCTTCCGCGCCGCTTTGAAGATCTGGCTGTCCCGGCTGGCCTGGGGTTAAGATTCCAACCCCACCCGAATTGTGTGACTGTTGTGCTCTCTTTTAATATGTTGTATTGTTTCCATATTGGAATACTGTTTGTCTTTCCCCCACTCCCTTTTTGAATTGTGAGCCGCCCTGAGTCCCCCCAGGGAAAAGGGCGGCATACAAATAAAGGAAATAAAAAAATAAAATAATAAATTAAAGCAACAGTCCAGGGAGCTTGCAACTTTTCTCTTTAGTTTGTATTGCATTTCTGATCTACTTTGTGGATTTCACGGGAGAGAGTATACGGTTACCTCATTTTGTCACCTGCCATTCTGAGTTGTCAAAAATATTTATCCACTGCTAAACCCTGCCCCAGATATTGTGGTTACACCTTAGCTGAGGCAGAATTTTTAAAGGAGGCAAGGGCAAAGCGTGGGGACTATTGTTCCATTTGGATATTTTAAACTCTTACGTTTGGGGAAACAGGACAATAGAGTTAGTGCAGATCATAATGATCAATAGGGCTGCATAAAGCCTTTGAAAGGAGCATTTTGCAAGACATGCCAGCACAAGTCAAGCATTCTTCCCCTCAGGCATAAATACATTATATCCTCTGGAAAGCTCATATGTCTCTTTGCAGGGTCTGTTTGTACATGTGCGCACGCATAAATAACACTTGCGCTGCAACGGCTAAATTGTCACATGTACCTCACTTATCAAAGTGGCTTCGTTTTAACTATCAATAACCTCTTTCCAACATCTTTGTGAAGTTCAATTTACAGGGATGGGATATAAATATAATAAAGAAGCAAGTGATACCCTGTTTTCCTGAAAATAAGACCTCCCCGGATAATAAGCCCAATCAGACTTTTGAGCGCATGCGTTAAAATAAGTCCCCGTGAAAATATTGCAACACAGCAGCAGCCATGAGGTGACCACGCTCGCTGCCTCCTGTACCTCAAAAATAATAAGACCTCCCTGAAAATAAGGCCAAGTGCTTATTTTTTGGGGGGTGGGGGGAGAATCAAAAGAAAATAAGACCCTGCCTTCTTTTCGGAGAAACACGGTAACACAGAGTTTCTTGAAATACAGTTTACAATGCCTTGAATCCTGCATGTCTCTTTATCCAATGTCTTAAAAGCTGGGCTACTCACTCTGCTGTTTTTCTTTCCAACAGTTATTTCTGAGGTTTGCAATATAATCATCTTCCACGCTCCTCTCTACATTTTTAAGATTCGTGCCTGTGTATTCTTCTGCAAAGCTGTCACCTACATAGTAAGACACTTTCAAATGCTCAGTCGTTCGTTTAAATACGTGTCCCACCGACCTGTGGAGGAAAGGAGGACAAAAGCAACGGTCAAAATTGCACACTTGCCCACACGCAAAGGAACATTTGTTTGGATAAGGAGACCAAAGACCAGCCAATCCCACCCAAAAGCAAACCATGATACCCAAATCTTCCTTTATCCTCTGCCATGCTGCTCCTGCAAGAACAGAGTATAGGTCCTCTAAGGAGAAACAATTTAAATTACCCATAAACTGGGCTAGTATAGATTATCCAGAGACAGAAACAATGTAAAGCTTAAGAGCAGGTTGTTTCTAGCTACTTCATGGGAAGGGAAAATTGAATGAGGGAGGAATGAGCTTAACAATGGATATTAAATGAACATAAGCTTTTGTAGAAGAATAAGGAATGTGATTTGGAATAGAGGAAGGGGACTGCCTCAACAATCCATTATCTCAATGGTTTGTTCCTGAAAAAGTCCATCTTGTCACCTCTTTCCAAAGTCCTTGACCACTACTGACATCCCAGAGACCTTCTGCAACCACCTTCAACTTAGTCTGCAAGCTGAAGCATGTCACCAGTAAGGAAATGTCAGAATATTCATGAACCGGGAAGAGAGGTGATGCTGCGACGGCACAACGTGCGATCTTGGTTTCCGAGAGCGCAGTCGAATTCCTGCCACTGGACGGTCCATTTGGACCTAAACCATACGCAGAGACGCTGATTGAGACGGGCACATTCTGCTGATCTCAGGAACACCACAAAGTCCCTGAAAGATCCAGGAATAGCCTTTTTTTCCAGCGACAGAAACGCAGCTAATGAAGCTGCTGAAGTTGAGACAGCTCCAGAATGGGAAGAAAGCGGAAAGAGAAAGTGTGTTTAATTGGTGAGGAAATTTTATTATTAGAGGAAGAGACTACCCCCCAAAAAAAAAATTAAGTTAAGATCGAAGACAAAAGACCATAGGCGGCAAGATTGATCTGCATTGAACTTAGTGTGTTATCTAGTTTCTAATTTCTTTTCTTTTTTTTCATGGATGGAACTTTTGCAGGGGCTCCCTATTTTTTAAACTGAATGGATTAATTTTTTCTTCTTCTTTTTTCACTTTTGCTT